AGATATTTTCTAATAAGGATTTCATGTAAATGGCATTTAGAGAAGAAGTTTTTTTTTTAAATAAATATTTTATATATAACAGGATTTTGAGAATTTGAAATATTGAGAGGAGTATATTATCAAGACAATGGACAAGTATCAACCGTTAATAGTATTATTATTTTAGTTTTAAAAAATTAATATTTAGTGGGACAAAGATTAATGTGTGTTTAGGAATTATTACCTTTGCAACAAAAAGTATTTATATCATGAATCATCAAATAATATTTATTTATGTATAAACAAAACATGTTAGACAAGAATATAAAAAATATATTATAGAGATAAATACAATCGAAGTGATGTAAAACTAACATTTAAAGGGATAAATAAATCGTATATTTGATTTATGAAGAAGATCCATAAGAATATTTGCATCTTGAACGAATCTTTTCCATCCATACTGTGTAGAAGTAAACACACATTGAGATCATATACATCCATCACATTACGTGTGTGTGTGTGTCTTCCTATTAGAAAAATGGTTTTGCTTATATGTTAGAACATGTATTTTAATGTGTGTCAACTATTACTCATATAATAACAATATGCTCAAAAAAGAGAATTTACAAGTCAATTAAGCAAAATAAAACTATTGATAGAAGATTAGAACAATTAACACAAGAACACAATACAATATAAAAAAAATAGAGAAAACAAATAATCCTGTAACTAACATATACTTTTATAAAATGAGCTTTTAGTTATATAACCTTCATAAGAGAAATGAAATTACAACAAATATTTTGGTGACGTAACAACTCAATGGATTTCTAGTTGCTAAATGAAGTCAGGAGATCAAAGGATTGGAATTTTTCATTTTTTTAATAGCCAAATGAATATGAATATAGAAGGTTAAAAATCCAAATTAGAGTACAATAAGAATAAACGGGCACAAGTAGTGTCAAGCCAACAAATAGCATACAACAAAAAATAAAATGAACAAAATAGAGCAATGAACAAGTTAGAGACAGCCACTCACAACAAAATAACAACAAAAAAAAAGACCCTACAACAACTTACATGACAAGATCAAAGGACTTAAAGTGTTTCCTACGATAATCTCACAATTGACCAATGTTGGTGATAACACTACAACATGTATATTAGAAAGTGTAGTTTATCCAAACGAAAACACATTGTGTTGCTTGAGTGAAATAGTTTTTTATATATAAGCATGCAATCAAATTTCATCATACTTGTGTTATATTATTTTTTATTAAAATAATATTTCAAATTACAATAAACTTTGTTATTGTGTTATGGTCCTTCAGAGTTTTTCGTGTAATGTTATGGAAAGAAATATAAAACCATGTTATAGTCGTTATCATGGTCACTAGTAAAAGTTTCAAAATACAAATTCAAATGTAACAGGGTATTCTATAATCAATTGAATTCAAAAGATAAACATCATACACCTCTTAGTATTGTACTAAATTGTGATATTTATTCCTTTAAAGTTTAAATGTTTTCATAAAACACTAATACAAATTCATTGACAAATGAGCTATGCTTGACCATGTAGTTATATTAATAAGAGTGTAATATATCAATGAAAATTAAATGATGATATGAGGAACTTTAAGTCCATATTTGGATGCATAAGCACCACTTTATTTGATTTAAAAAAAAAGCAAAAATAAAAGCTTAACAAATATTTACAAGACCAATACCTAAAATAAAACCATAATAAAAATTTAGAACAATGAACACATGTATCAAAAATTGAAGAAAAAAATCAAAAAATAGAAGAAAAAATAAATAGAGTTAGAAAATACATACTAAAGCGGCAGAAATTCAGATTATATAAAAATTTATATCATAGATTCGATTTCTCTTTTAGAAATCAAAAACCTAAAACAAAATGAGAAAAATAAGACCCGTAAAAGAACAAATAGCAAAAAAAAGAAGAAGAATATGTTCAAGTTATTCTTACCCTACTTTAATGAAGAGACAAACGCCAACGAAGATATGAATACGACGACAACATCGGGACGGAGAAGAAACTATTGTTCATGGATTCAAATTTGATATATGATACACAATGAAGAGAAACCCTATAGGAAATGTTATTTTAGTTTTGTAAGTTATGTGAGGGCAATTTTGTAACTACGCACTTGAGTCACATAATGATTTTTGAGAAAATTAAAATACAAGTTTTTTCACTTTTAGCCAAAATATGATTTTTTAAATAGTGTTTTTCTATTATGTTTTTTAATTGTAGTTGTTGCTCCATGTATGTTGGCAATTATTCTCGAATTGTGTTTCATATTTCTTCAACATATTAGACATCAAATTAGGTTGGATCTTGTCATTCATAGTTACTAGGTACCATATCACTTAAATTCTTTATACACCTTCAAAAATATACAAATCACTTGATTGTATTCATCTTGAAAGTTATGAAGTGCAAAACAATCGCATATAATAGAAAATTAAGTTTAAAATTTTAAATTAGGCATTTCCATTTCCATTTGACAATTCCTAAGTTTCTTTCAATCACACTTAAAAAACTAGAATGATAATAGTCAAATATTTTATTTTATTTTATCTAGACTAAGGAGAGAGTCTAAGATGTGCAAGATGATTTATTGCATTCATGCACAATCCTAAGAAACCTTCTAATGAAGGATATCATTAATCAACAAGGTAGTATTTATATATACATATACAAAATATATTAGACAAGAATATAAAAATGATTATTATACAAATCAATGTAATTGAAGTTATGTAAAACTAACTTTCAAGAGGATGCACAAATCTTAAATTCAATTTACTAAGAATATCCAAATTAATCTTTGCATAATGAACAAATCATTCTCATTCACATAGTGCTAAAGTAAAACACATTTTGAAATCACACACAACCATCACATTTGTACTTGTATGCCATTTTCTTGTTAAACAAGTTTTAGCTTATTAGTTAGGACATATATTTTAATCTTCCTGTCATCTATTGCCCATATGAAGTCTCTAAATTAAGAGAAATATTGACGACCATCTCTAAAATATTAGAAATAAGAGTCAACAAGATCAACATGACTAATGGCGTTTTCCCCCAACTTGTATACCACTTCTAAAACTTTATTGAAATGTGTATAAATGGTCTAACTTGAATGTTGAAACCACTCTTGGGAATTTTTATATAAGGAAAGTGGACATATGATATGTAAGAATGCTAACACTTTTATCTACTCCAATGTGTTTAATAGTATATGTTTTGTTCGGGAATTATAAATGGATATTCTAGCTTCACAAAAGAACAAGAAATAGAGAGAATTGGATAACTGTTGATCTTGAACAGTGGCCCTAATCTCCCTTACGGTGGCGTGGGATAGATCTGCATAATTAGCATTTCAATGCCCAATTCAATTTAAGATTTAAGATGATATAATAAAATTGAAGATAAAAGATTGTTTACCTTCTTATTTCATGTGAACTGTTTTTATATTTTGGGTTGAGTAAAATGGGATTGAGATGGATTGGGCCTTAGTCAATTGAGCCTTCGTCCGGTCCAAAACAGTTGCTCTAAGGCTTTGTTGGGAACCGAATGAGTCGGGGGAAGCCTTAAGTATCATTAACGAACCTCCATGTTGTAGTTTGAGGTGAGATAAAACGGAATAGTTTGGGATCAATTTTTTGAAAAAGTATTGGGGAACATACACATTTAATGCATTTTCACCTATGAAACGCTTTGCTGCCCATTCTTGACACGTGCAATGACGTGACCAGTTTGAGTATAGTACAATTTAGAGAGTACTTGAGTGCACTCGAATTGGCGTGTATATGTCATACCTTAAGTTTCGCCCACCATTTTTATCTAATCATCATAGGCTATCGAGTCAGTTAATGTACCTCAATAAGTTCATTTCATCTGAGTAAGACCATTTCATCTAAACCACTGCATTTTCCTGAGTCTTTAGGTCTTTGACTAGGTTATTTTGGTTTCATCTTATACATGTGACTTTGTCTGAGGCATGGTTACTTGTTTGAGCAAGTCATTTCCACTTGATCAATTTGCACGATTCTTATGGTTTCATCTAACACATTGAATTGCATCTGAGCCAGGTTCATCTAAGTCTCGAACCCAATTTGGTTGCGATGACCATTTCTTCCTTAAAAGGGTTTTATCGGTGTTTCCCTTCAAATAAAAACTTTGGTGGCAACTTTGTAGTTTATTTCAAGCATTAGTATGCTCGAGTATCTTTTGCGTCACGACAATATCTATTTGCATCAGAGTATGATTGGATAGATGCAAAAGTAGTAGGCCCTTACTTGGATTTGAGCATTGAGTTGCCCTTATAATGCCAACATTGTGGCAAGCGATCATATGAAGTGGATAGTCCTTCTAGTGCTAGATGAGAAGAGGATATGCAGCTCTTTTAATGACTGCAAATTTCATTTTGTGAATGTATGTTTACAAGAATAGAGCTTTGATTGCCCTTTTATGAATTTGAACTAGTCATCCTGAAACATTTGAAGGTTGCCCCTTCCCAGCTTCATTCGGAGTCATGGGCATATGTGAGTTTCTTCCAACTGTGTGTAGAATACAAATCCTGAAAGCCCTCTCTTAGTTTATTCTTTATTCTTTTTTCGACCGAGGTGTATGTTCATATACTACTTTCATAACCATGGACTTCTGCGCCTTCATCCAACCATCTCTTGCTTCAACCCCTTCACTCTAGATTGGGACAATTTTCTGGGACGTTTCATATTGGTGAAACATTTCTCCGGACAAGATGACGATGAAAGAGGAAATGTAATCTTGGTTTCAGGGACTTGTTTCGGAGGAAGGGTTCAGCCCTGGTGAGGTTCCCTACCGAAGTGAGGAAAAGGTGGATTGATATTCACTCTATCTTGAGTGCAATTAATCTTGAGGAGAGGAGGAAAATATTTGGTGAGTAGGGAGTCTTTATGCTCTTTTTTTTAGATAGAATGGAAAAGTAAGCAAGTTGAATATGTTATACCACCTTGAAGATGCCCAGGGTATTCGAGTTGCAGTGAATATTTCTACTTTAGAATCTTCCCCATCTCCTTTGGTGGCTACCGCTCTGGCTCCGACGCCTTATCCTACCCTGGATAGAGAAGCTTCAGCTCTTGTGTTCAAGGTGGGTCAGCATGTGGATGTCATAGCCATTTTTACAGTAGAGGAACCAACCTCACCTCCAGTTCGTCAAAGATGGCCAAGGCGAAGGAACATCAGTCTCCTATATTTGAGTGTTCTACAAAATGGACTAGGGTTGCAAAGAAAAATGATTTTGGAGAGGCGACTCCCTTTATAAAGATATTGGATATTTTCTCTTCTCGACTTACATGCACTTCTCAGGAGGATGTTGTAGTTGTTTTAATGTCAAATTTATCCTTCATCTAGAATCTCCTTAAGGGAGATCAAATGTGTTAGGTTTGTGATTTTATGATTGGTAATATTTTTTGTAAAACGAGTAGTTAACAACAATTTGATCAAAATATGTTTCATTTTAAAAACATGTATTACAGCCTAATATTGAAACAAGATGTCATAACATCTTATCCAGCTGGTACAACAGAGTCTGTAAGTAACTTATTTGATAGATGTTCCAGCAGATGTTGTAGCATGTTACAATAGAACATCTTAATAGTATGTTGGATATTTATCCTTGAAGATTTGATTTGAAAATTTGAGTATTTGGAATATTTTGTACTCATAACTAGCGCAGACAATCAAGGATTTTATTAGAAACAAGGGCATATTTGATTAGTTTCTAAAAAGGATCATTGAGACTTTTTAGGAAACATTTATGATATTTGTTTCTATTTTTGTGGAGAAGATTCTACAGGTTTTGGGAGCTGATAATTGGATTTGATTGAAGAGTCCAAGCCCACTACAAAAGTATATATAAGGATTCATCCAAGACCTAGTTTTTTAAGTATAATTTTTATTGTAAAACCTTGTGAAAAATAAGGATTTAGGGTTTGATAGTTCCTTAGGTTCTTTGTGTGTTTGTTTGTATGTCCTCATGTATCTTTGATGCATTTGAGTTTAATGATTGTTACCTGTTTATCAAGTTATTGTTCTCCTTGAAGTTTGTAAGCAAGAGTTGAGTATTGTTCTTAGTGAAACTTTTAAGCAAGCTGAGTATTTGTAATTCTAAAGTGGATTATTCCTTTTTGGTTTCTTGAGACATTCCTCGAGACTGGTATTATTTGATACCATTGTGGTAATTGGAAGTGAGAGGGGTTCTCATATCTAGGAGGTGCCTAGGTAGAAGTTGCACAAGTTAGGGATTAAGTGAGAGGTTGTAAATATGAGAGTTTAGCTTCGAATTAATACTGCTAATAGTGGATTTCCTTCCTGGCTTGGTAGTCCCCATAGTAGGTGAATTTACACCGAACTGAGTTAATAATTCCTTGTGTTCTTTATGTTTATGCACTTTATTTTCCTGCATAATATTTCTATTTTTAGCAAGATTATTTGTTGTCATCAGATTTTGTAATATCTGTTGTGACATTATGTGTTGTTAAGGCATCAGTCTTGACATCTAATATTGTGTGTGCTAGAATTTCAATTGGCATCAAGAGAAGACACCTTATTCTGTTTACTGGGTGTGATTCAGGGATATATTTTCTGGCACTATGGAGAAAGAATGAGGATTTAACAACAAACCACCCATGTTGGATGGTTCAAACTATGATTGGCCCGTCATCGCGTGCATACTCAAAAATATGTATCTTATGATTGGAATACTATTTTGGGGCAATTCTTGAGGCGTTGAAACCGTTTTAATGTCTTCTCCAACTCTCATGTTCGGATCGAAAGTTAATTCTTTAAAAACTATGTGTTGAGCCATAATTTTATGGATGTTCAAAAATTCATAACTTCTGAGTGAAATACCTTTTTGGAGAGGTTCTTTTTGGGAAAAATCCATCTTGATGTCTTCTTTGTTTCGTATTTTTGGACCGAAAGCCGATTTCTTGAGAAAATTCTCCGGAATTATGGATTACTGGAGAAATAATTGTGTTGAACTAGAATTTTTATTCACCGTTTCTCGATATTGTAAAAATCGTAACTCCTTCGATTTTTATTGTATTGAGAAGGTTCTTTCGGCATAATTTCATAAATGGTATCAACTATAATTTCTATTCAGATTCCAAATTCAATTGGTACTCCGAAGACCCTCGTTTTTGGATTGTTTCGCAAAACAGAATTACTGAACCGAAAAAAGGAAATTCAAATTTAATTTCCATTTCACGAGAAAATTCAAAACTCAGTCAATTTTTATTGGATAAGGTTCATCTTTTTACATGATGTTACTGACTCAGAGATCTACAACTTTTCTTGAAAAGTCGATTCCAGATTATGCTCCTAGAAGTACCAGTTTTTGATCGAAAAGGTGTTTGTGTCTGACACTGACGCGAAAACTGGTGCTGAAAGATTTTATGTCGATATCTCGATATTCAAAAATTCATATCTCACTCGTCTTTCATCGGATTAAACTCATATTTTAACATGAGGTCTCTATTGACCAAGGATACGTTTTTGTTTCACGCCTCAACTTCGAATTTCGCACCGAGCTCCTTGTGAATTTGACCTGAACGTGTCAGACATTGATGAATTAAAAATTTGCACTATTGTTTATGGTTATTTGAAGCTCATTAACCAAACGCACTCATATTAGAACACACTGTATATTCTCATTCACACCAATTACTCTGATAACAATCATAATTTCATTTTCCCTCTCACAAACACTCTCACATTCTCTCTAAGATAAAAAATACAAAAATATCAAACTCACCAGCATTCATCATCACCTTCAAGCTTCTTCAACAAGATTAAAAAAAATCAAAGAGAAGAAAAATCCTCCTCCCTCAAGAAGAAGAAGCCATCACCAGACTCCTCTCCCTTCATCAACTTTCAACCGCCGCGCCACCCTCGGGCCTCCTCGTCATCGGTGCATGCTCCCTCAGTTTTCCTCTCTTCCTCGCGCGATCTCCTCTCTTCTTTCCTCTCCTCATTGCAACATCACCTTCTCCAACGCTTGAATTCTCTTTAAATTTTCTCTTCCAAGCTTCAATAGGTAACAATTCGTGTACCTTAATTCTTGATAATTGACGTGTGATACTTTGATTACTGTGAATTAAAGTGAATTGTGATTATGTGATTTTCTTAGATATTGAATGTAATTCATTGAATTGGAAGAGATTTAAACTAGATTTTTCTTGTAGTTTAAGTGTTTTATAAAATTCTTAGGTGAAAGTTTGAGTTCAAGAATTGTGATATTTGTTGTGAACTTATGATTCTTGAATTGTGTTGGAATTGTTGATTCTTAAATTGACACTAAATTGTGTAGAATTTTGGTGCACATGAGGTGTTTGTAAATATTTCTAGTGTTATAGTTTGGTCCAAGAATGTGAGTGGAGTTAACATTTCATGAATTTATTTGAGAATTAAGTGTTGTTGATTTCATGAGTTGATTATTTTTTGTGGTTTATGTGATTTTTGAGTTGTAAACCATGAAGAGATGTGGTGTTGGATGATTGATATTGAATCGAGTGTGGTTCTTGAATTTTTAACCGTTGCATCTAGTTTGATTTAAATTATGTCAATTGTTGTGGTTTATGTAAATCATGTTGCTTGTTGGTTTATATTGAGATTTGACATCACTCTCATTAGTTGACATAAGTTGTATTATATTGTTGATAAAACCCAAAGTTTTCAATATTAAAACACCAAACTAATACAAGTTATATTAACTTTGGAAAGTCGATTTGTGCAAGCTATATGTGATTTAATTCTCAAGTTTGTGTCTCTCTAAAATCACAATTTCAATACAAAAAATCATAAACTTCAGAGATAAACCAACATTTACAATTTGTGTATTTTCACTCTTTTCATGAAATTTTAAACTCAAACTCATTAGAAGCTTAATCGTTAATGCTCAGAATACGCGTGTCGCATGTTTATATATCATTTAAAACTGATTTTCACGCTTTCGGATCGAAATTTCGGCCATTTAGACCACTTTACCGTAGTTATGTCCTGCACTGTAGAATGGCCTAAATGGAGAACTTACGCTTGGAATTAATTCACATGACCTATTTTTCTGAAGCCATTGGCCCGTTTGCAAGATACCATGGGATTTCCTTGAGATTCCAAGCATATTTTTTTACCGCTTTTACAACTGACCGTGTGGGAAAGTCATGCTTCTACTGTGTTTTTGACCGAACCGTTGCAGATTTGGATCCCTGGACACGTTAAAAAGTTACTGTGTAAATTTAGTTCCATTTTGAGTAACTTTTTCTGGATGCCTAATTTCATAAAACATGTTTTTATTGTTTAATGCATAATTTTGATTTTGTTCTTAGTGCATTTTTTTTACGCTTCTATGTGCAGAATTTCATTGTTATAATCTCTATTTGTTGTGTACTCATGTGTGATATTTCATTTGGTGATTATCAAATTGATTTTTTGACGCGGTTCTGATACCATTTTTCTTGTTATCTATTGATGTGTTTGTTTATTGTGCAAGGTACATTCTATTATTATATATGATCATGTAACGCAATATTGGTTATGTGATCAAAACTTGTGGCTTATGCTCACTTCCGACGTGACACGTCTTGTTTCTCATTTCATGATAAATGTCCTTTGTTCACACTTGTCGTATATTGTCTGGATATGTATGACACTTTGTGCAGGAACTCTGATATGTGGTGCATCTGTGATACGCATTTTTGTATTTGTTTAGTTGGATATCATTTCTGACTATGTTTGTTTCTTGGTGAAGCTTACTCGACGTATTTCCTGTGTTGTACCCCAAAATTTGCCCTCCCATTTCCTCAACATTTTCTCATCACAAGACCCTTGGAGCTCAAGATCCAGTTAGGGTTTCCTCTGCTCAAGACTTCTCCTTGCACTATTGACCCAAATTAGGGTTTGTGTTTGCACAAAGATGTTTTGACCTAGAATGCCTAAGATGACTTTCATGCTTCATGTTGGACTCCCAAGTTTATCCATACCAAGTTTCAAGCCTTGATTCCAATCTTTGCCCAGTCAATTGGACAGTTGACCTAGAAATCAGCTGTATTGGGGAAAAAGTCAATTGTGATCAATTGACAGTCAAACCTCATGATTTTTGACCCACATCAACATTATGAACTCATATAAACCATTTGGTCAAGTTTGGATCACAAATCCACAAAAAAATTGATCAGATCACCAAAAGGGCAAAATGGTCATTTTTAGGGTTTTGACTGCACAAAGGCAATTTTTGACTGTTTGACCTAGCCAATGGCAAACCAA